GAGTCAGAGCACATCCATCGGGCGCCGAGGGATCAACCCCTCATCCCGCCTCCTGCGCTCAACAGGTCTGGCTCGGACAACATCCCACCCTCGCTCTGCACAAGGCCCCTCGGACGAATAGGTGCAACATGTCGGCAGCCCCACGTGCCGCGGTAGCACCGCCAAGCCAGCGTGACTACGCCAGTTCGCACGACGTGTCGACGTACCCGTCATCGTCCATGCGCGCTTCTGCTTCCGACAGCTCACCAGGCTCGGGCTCCCGACCCAGCAGCTCGCGAGGTCCAGCTTCTTCACCACCACCACCCACAAGTCGCGCAGAGAATTCGTCACCCACGCGTCCCAACGCCAAACCCTCTTCGCGCGGCAGCCGTCTCGGTGCGTTGCTCGGCAGATCCACGCCAGCCAACGATGCCGCCCATTCCAGAACCGCGTCGACTTCCACAAACCACACAGACACCTCTTCATCCAACGACTCGAGCTTCTTCGGCCGTCGCAATCGTAACAAAGCCGTCCCAGCTCAGATCGAAGAGTCGCTCGAGGAGGACCATCCGTCGCTTCCCGCAGCTCTATCGGATCAGCCTCAGTCGACACGCGCCGCCAGCGCAATGGGCATGCTCGACTTTCACCCTCGAGCTCGCGATGAAGCATCGACAGGGCGCAATCGGCCAGTCAGACCTTTGCTCCAATCCAATTTCACCGACACTCTCGTGGCATCGCCGAGTACCAAGGACCAGCCCCAGTCGGCCTCAGCAGCGTCACACCAGTCCAGGGGCGGTCGTCTCGGCCGCCTCGCGTACAAGAAGGACGACTCGATCGCCTTCATCGCGCAGTCCCGCAATGTCTCGCTTCAATCCGCCGTGGGGGCGCGCAATGCCAGCTTTGACGTGGAACGCTCGCACCCCTGGCCAAATTCCATCGCATCTGGCGCGCCTCGTGGCCTGGGCATCGATGGCGGCAATTCGCCCCCGGCCTTCTCGACAGCGCCTACCGATGGATACGACCGCACAGACGCACCAGACGCCATGCTCAATCGTCACGCGGTCGGCATGGCTACCAACTCGTCTCAGTCCAATTCGCTGCCCTCTTCAAGCGCCGGCTCCTCGCGTGCACCGTCCGTCGCAGGCATGCTAAGCAGCGGCTACCACAATCGCTTCAGCCGACAAGGCATCCCTCAACCCTTGGCCCAAGAGTCGCTCGCCGACGCAGACAACAGGCCCGAGGCCGCTCGCTCCTCCTCGGAAGCGCAAGCTGCGCGTGCGTCGGGATCCGCCGAGCACCGCAGCAGCTCGCCTCGCGGAACCTTGTCCGACGCAGATATCGCAGCGCTGGGCGCAATGCCCGGCGCTTCGGCCGGCTCGCTCCTCAACGCAAACGGCGCGCCTCTGAGCAGCAAAAACATCCTCACCATCGCACTGCAAAAGGCGCAGAATGCCGTACAGCTCGACAGCGCTAACAACGTGCCCGAGGCCATCTCGGCGTACAAGCAGGCGGTGAGGCTGCTCGAGGAAGTCATGGAGCGCATCGCGCCGCGCAACGGCAAGCGGTCCAGACCCAGCAGGGAGGAGGAGCGCAGGAGGCTGCGCGTCATCCACGATACCTATGCAGACCGCATCCGGCTGCTCTCCATGATCTACTCGCCCGACGATTCGGATGCACACGAGGACACCACCGATACCAGCTTCAGCGGCGCCGAACAGCCGTCGTCCGCTTCCAAGCCAGATTGGCTCGACAGGATGCGCCACGACACCAAGGACGATCCGGCAGCAGTCACGCCCACAATGAGTGGCCAAGGGCTCGAGCATGAGCTGCACTATTCGCCGCGCGACAATTCGCGAAGCTTTCTCTCCATCACCCCCGTCCAGAGCGCTTTCCCGCCGGCGTCACAGGCGTCCTCTTCGCCGCAAATCGACCAGCAGCCTGGGCAGGCCAAGCTGCCGTGGCCCAAGTCGCCGCCCATGCAGAATGCGCCGCTCTCGCCCTCGCTCGACTCGTCGCCGCGCAGACGACGCCGAGATCACGCCAGACCCGGCTCGCGCGGATCGCGTGGCAGCCGCGCCTCGATCTCGCTCTCCATCGCAGACGAACAAGAGGTGCAGGACCTGCGCCTCCCACCTGTCGCCATCGCCGAGGAGATGCCCAGCATCGCCATCGAGGCCACCACGCCCGAGATTGATCGCGACGCCGGCTCGCCCGTCAAAGACGCAGGCGCCGGCGTGCGCAAGACGGCCGTCTCGCCGTCCGATCTTGCGGCTCGCCAGATGCAGCATGGCCGATCCGACTCGGACAGCTCGTACCAGAGCACCACGGCCGCAGCGCGTCTCAAGCCGACTTCACTCGCATATCGCTCGTACGGCCTCGACGACGAAGTGCGCACGCCCGTCACGCCGTACTTTGACGCCTCGGGCGACGTCGGCCTCGGCGCAGACGAGCGCGCTTCGGCGGTGGTCAGCCCGGCCGAGGCACCTGCGCGCCAGCACAAGCTGTCCTTGACAACGCCAGCGTCCAAGCCGCGTGCCGAGGCGGCAGAGAAGCCCGCTGAGCGTCCAGCCAAGATGGGCTTGGCGCAAAGGGCGAGGGCGCTGAGCTTCAAGGGGCCGCTGCTGAAAAAGGCAAGCATGCCGTCGCTCTCGGACCGCAAGAAGGAGGAGGCAGCTGCGGCGAACAGTGCCACACTTGCCAAGAGTCAGGTACGCAGGCCGGGTACGGCGGAATCACGGCCCAACGAGCCAACACCTGCATTGCCGATCGAGAGCGCAAACGACCATCCGACACCGTGGGACGAAGAGGCGGGCTCGAACGTTACTGTGCGTGCGCCGAACCGGCCGAGGGCGACGACGGCGTCGGCGCTCGTCAGCTCGTCGGTGCTGGCAGGAACGATCAGCCAGCGCCGCAAGATCGCCACCGCCACCAATGGTGCGGACTCGCAGGCGGCGGGCGAAGCAGACGGACAGGCGGGCAGGGCAACACCGGGGACGGACGAGACGGATGCTCGCGAAGAGCACGGGCCGCAGTCCGCGGCCTTGTCCAGTCGCCAACGCTCCACGTCGCAGCCAGGCTCGAGGAGGCCGTCGATCCCGGCGGTGTTTCTTGCCGCGAACGCGTCGGCGT